TGAAGATGTTCCTGAAACAGCTACTAGGACTCGATATGGTCATTATGAGCTTCTTGTGATGCCATTTGGATTAACTAATGCACCTGCAACTTTTATGGATTTGATGAATCGAGTATTCTAACAATATCTAGACAGGTTTGTTATTGTTTTCATTGACGATATTCTGGTATACTCTAAGTCTAAATCAGAGCATGTTCGACGTCTTACTTTGGTGTTGAAGAAATTAAGGGAACATCAGTTGTACGCAAAATTTAGCAAATGCCAATTCTGGATGGATTAAGTGGCATTTTTGGGACATGTCATATCAACTCAAGGTATTCAGGTGGATTCTCAGAAAGTGGCAGCTGTTGAGAATTGGGAGCAACCACTAACCATCACCGAGGTACGAAGTTTTCTTGGTTTAGCAGGTTATTATCGACGGTTTGTTAAAGATTTTTCAGTTATTGCATTACCACTAACGAGGTTAACCAGGAAGGATGTTAAGTTTGAGTGGGATGATAATTGTGAGCAGAGTTTTCAGTAGTTGAAATATTGTCTCACTCATGCACAATTTTGAGATCTACAGTGATGCTTCCTTGAATGGCCTAGGTTGTGTGTTGATGTAGCATAGTAGGGTGATTGCTTATACGTCGCGATAGTTGAAGCCTCATGAGATGAATTATCCTACTCATGATTTTGAGTTAGCAACATTCGTTTTTGCTTTGAAGATTTGGAGACATTATCTTTATGGCAAAAAATGTAAGATCTTTACCGATCATAAAAGTCTTCAGTATCTTTTTACTCAGAAGGATTTTAATCTTCGGCAACGAAGGTGGATTGAATTGCTCAGTGATTATGATTGCACAATTAAGTATCACCCTGGTCTTGCAAATGTAGTGGTGGATGCACTTAGTAGGAAGCCTCAAGGGAGAATTAATGCTTTATACGCTTGTCATGTTCCTCTTCTAGCGGATTTGAGGTCCACTAGAGTGAAGTTAGGAGTGGAAGATCGAGGGGAAGCCTTACTTGCTAATTTTCAAGTCAGGCCAATATTAATTGATCGAGTGCTCGAAGCTCAGATGAATGATGAGGACCCAGTGACGATTTTGGATTGGAAAGATAAGGTTCTGAGGAATAAGATCGTGCGCTTTGTGAAAGTTTTATGGAGGAATCACTCGGTGGAGGAAGCCACCTGGGAGACAGAAGAACGTATGAAAGAGTTATATCCGCGCTTATTTTATGGTTATTAGCGGTTGTTCATTGTTGTATGGAAATTTCGGGGATAAAATTTTCTTAAGGAGGGTAAGTTGTGACAACCCGTCCCTAAATATATTTTATTAATGGTGAAATGACTAAAGTGCCCTTGAATGTTTTGTGGTGTTGTGGGGTCTAAGCTTAGGATTTGGACCCAATTCTTTTATTCATAAGTGTTTGGAACTTAAGTTATTATCTTGTTTTTGGTTGAGGACTAATTCGGACCACATATACACCCACACACGTTGACTCTTTCTCTCTCTCCTTCTTTCTCGGCTTCCATCCATTTTTCCGTACAACCGTACAGACCACTTCGAACTTAGCTCACTAATTGCGGATTGAGGCTTTGAAGGTTGGTTTTGTGTTCTTTGCCAGCTCCAGAGTTCATTCATGTTCCTAGTTCAACGTGAAGACCTCGTTTTCTCGAGAACCAGATAACCTAGTTTTGGAGCACTGTTCATTCGATCATGATTGTGGACCTTCCAGTTATTTTTAAGACCCTAGGAAGCTTTAGAACATCTTCACAAAGCTCGGGGAAGAAATTTGAAGTGATTTGGATGTCGGGAATCCCTGTTTTGGTGAGTTGCAGAAGTGGCCGGATTATCGTGTCTTTTCCGGCGAAATCCCGTGGATTTTAGGACCTAAAAGTGGTAAGGTTTTGTTCATCTCATCCTAAGCTTCATTTTGGTATATAATTCATGAATTTTGGTTGAGAATTGAAGAAGATATGAAGTTTTAAAGATTTTTCCATTTTCCGGTGATAGCAACGACACCGGCGAACCAAGGAAGAAGGAACAAAATATTCCGTCAAAGTTGACAGAATATTCTAACGCCGTTAGGTAATTATAACGGTATATGCTGATTTTTAACCAAATATTCCCTAACGCCGTTAGGGAATCTGTTTGGTGTGCCAGGCACGTGCCTACGCGTGGGTAGCGCATTTAGCCGTGCCTTGGCTGGCGTGTAGGTGCTCGGAAAATTTTTCTAAAAATATGGGGGTGTTCATAAGGTTGAGTAGGTCTCAATGGTATATTTAAATACCCCATTTGAGCAATGTGTGAGAAGTTATTACCTAGTTTTGTGTATGTGCTTTAAATAACGTTTATATAGTTGTTTCGCATATAAGTGAGACCTATTCTGAGGACGAGCGTAGTCAAGTAAGGCTCGGGGTTTACGACCCTTCCACATATCAGTGAGTGGGCTTTTGGTTTTCAGTATATACCTATATACTTGGTATTTTTCCTAGAAAATGCATTTAAATGAAATTATGTTTTGAATTGCTATGCCTATCGATTTATACTTAGAATATGAATTAGTATAGTATGCATAAATATGATTTGACATTGTGGACGCTCAGGTAAGTTGTATACTGTTTATGTGTGATTTGATGATGATGTGAGATGTGTTGAGAATTTATAAACATGCACCCTAGTGTTAGTGCTCTCGCTCGTGGCTAGGGCACAGGCCTTCACGTGATGTTCACCTCCCGCACCATACGCTCACCATGGATCCAAGTTAGGTGCACAATCCTGTCGTACAGACCACTATAGGTGGTTCCGACTTGTAGGTGACCCGCCACGTGATCGTAGCACTAGAGTGTATTTATTTATTTACACTCAATCCTGTCATATAAACCACATTAGGTGGTTCCAACTTGTGTGCAGGCATACTTGTTGAGTTATAGATTCAGCCGTACATGCCATTTTAGGTGGATCGAGCTGAGATGTTATTTCACCTGAGCTACTAATTTTGTTATTTTGAGATATTTGGCCTGGCATATTTATGAATATCATTTTCTGAGCATGGTTTTGAGATATGTATATATATATATATATATATATGCATTCTATTTTCTAGGAAATTATACAGGTTTTAGGGCGAGGGGTTACAAGGAATTCATGGCAGCTTTGACAGATTATCACCAATGTAGGATTATCTTTGGTGTTGTATAATTAGTATTCGTCCTGCTGGACTGCACTTAGACTACTTATGCTCTGATTATGAACTCACACTTAATGTCGCACTTGCACCTTACCTTATCTAGTGCTCTAGTTAGTTGGTTTTTATTTATCCGTATTTCCTTATCTTTATTGCTTTCGCACTATGCTCATGGTTACATCACCCTCACGTGACGGCAATCATGCCTCGATCTAGGTCGTTGTGTGTCATTTATGTCCCATTATTATTAATTATAAAAAATAAAAACTTAAAAAAAAAATCTTTTTATGACTAAAATTACCAAATTACCTCTGTATTATTTTTTGCTGCTTTTGTACTTTTTTATTTGAAAGGCATTTTTGTCCCATTATTTTTTGGTGAAGCCGTGACCCCAAAAGTTGGCTTCCGCCTTTATATATAGAAGATTTGTTTGGTAACTATGCTCCTTTTTAAACGCGTGCAATTTACATGACGAAAAATTCTCATCGAATTGAGGTCAATGATCAATGCCTCTCAATTTGTCAAATTTTGTAACCGTTTTAATGATTTTTTAATTCAACACCAAAGTTACAATTCGTTACTTATAACACAAAATCAATGCTCTCAGAAGAAAAAATAAATTGAAAAGGGTCTACAACAAGGATAATGTTACGGGATCAAATTTTTTAAATCATATGATGTGGTTGTAGATGATTGGATAATTAATGAAGTGTGATTAAGATGCTTATTTCTTAATGGTGGCGTATCATTTGGTTTAAAAATTTAGTCTCCCTAACATTATCCTTACAACAAATGACCTCGTTTACGAACTAAGAACATTTCTAAATAAGATGTCTAAATGTCAAAATCAGCAATAACAGTAAAAAATAAGACAACAGCAATGCTTTTCAACTGAGAAACTAAATTTGATTTGGCATGACATGGAATAACATATCTCCCCCTTGCTGCCAAATTTGACACCATTTTCAAAAAAATTTAATTAATTATTAAATGCTTTTTAAAAAAAAATTATTGATTTAAAGCGTTACCTTTTTATTTCTTTTCATTACCATGCGATGTTTAAATATTTTTTTTACTTTTTAATTCATTTTCTTTTATTACCAATGCAAAGAAGATAAATATAAATTTTTTATTATATGTTCAAAATTTGACATATCGATCGTAGAGCAAAAATTTAAAAGATGTCAAAATATCACATAAAGCTATCACATTCAAACTTTTCTAGTGTGCAACTTACAAATTAAACGATCCTTTTTTATTTGATAAAACGATATTTTGGCAACTGTGCTTGGATCAACAAAGATTTAGTATCGAACTCGTCGTTCAAAAACTCAACCTAAGGCTCTTACTTAAAACTAAAAAAAATGGCTTTTCGAACTAAAATGCCCCTCGATTAGGTCGTTGATAACTTCATATCACCCAACCAACGCATCTCTAATTCAATCACATCGCCAAAACATTAGAAAAGCGCTACACTTGCCTGTACTCCACAATGGCACGAGTGGTAGGCCCATCCACTACCAACATTCATCTTCTTTGGGTGGGAAAAGACTGACAGCACTAGAGAATGCGTCCATTCTACGACAATTCATGACATCCAACCAAAAAATAAACCCAGACATAAGACTTCCAAGCGAAAACAACAGCGGAACTTCGAGAGAATTGTTTTTAAGTAACCCCGAGAGAGTCGATACGCCGTACTCGCTCTGAACCGTTAAATATAGACAATGTGATGGGTTAAATAAGCATAACTCAATCATAGTAAACCGTAATCAGCTGATAAACGATAGCTGATCACAGTTGACTGATTGATCAAAAAATAAGAATGATGATGCCGAAAATTGACATAAACCTGCTGTTATTCAAATCCAAAAAGTAAATTTACTCACATAAATCCAACATATAATTCCTTGAGTTTGCATTACATATTCCAAAACTAAACAACACTATTAAACATCAGACACTTGAGTAAATCGCCAAGATATCCCTCAGAAGCAAGCATCCAAGAGGCAACAACAGCAGAGTGCTGCTAAACTGCACAGTACATAAACAAACCATGTCAAAGATCGTACGCAAATGTTGCTGATCAGGCTTTAACTTCAAGGAAAAGGAAAACGAAACAATACGAAAAGGGACCGGTTATGTTCGAACTCCAATAAGTATCCCATTCAAAACCAACATGTAAATTAAGCATCACTATCTTCAGGCATAAAAACACTGCAATTTCTTAAGACTGTTACACAACAAAAATTACTCGAATATTATTAAAAAGAAATCAAAACAAACAAACAAAAGCGGAGAAATATTTGACCACCAAACAATCGTCAATTTCTTCAGCCATAAAAATAGACCTTCTTAGATTGTTTTATTCAACAAAACACTAGTAAAATTCTATAAAAAAAAAACAAAAAAAAAGAGCAAAACCTTCATAGATATTTAGGCAACAATCAATAATAAATAAAATAAGAGGAAACCAAATAAAAAGTGGAGATTAAGAACAGAAAACTCTGCAATCAAACAAAATATAATCTAGACAAAGAATTTAGAGAGAGAGAGAGAGAGAGAGAGAGAGAGAGAGAGAGAGAGAGAGAGAGAGAGGAGTGAGGGGGCTTACCATCCTTGAAGGCAACCGTCACTTTCTTTCCTAGGAGGGGGCTGCTGAGCATACTGGGGAGCATAGCCCTGCTGTGGTGGGTACCCCTGTGGAGGGTAACCCTGTTGAGGTGGATACCCCTGCTCAGGGTAACCCTGTGGAGGGTAAGCATCCTTTGGAGGATACCCTGTCCAACGATAAATAATTTGAGTACTAAATTCAAAGAACCAAAACAAAACAGACCAAAATTGACCCAAAAGGTAAAATAGACATGATTCATACCTTGTGGAGGAGGAACACCAACTGGAGCTTGCTGCTGATTGTAGTAACTCATCTTCTACAACAAAAACAAAAAAGACTGGATATTTTTAGGACTCGGGAGCAATTTGAGAACTGGGTTTGGATCGAATATTGAAAGAGTTGAGAGATTTGGAGGATTTTATAAGATCTGTGAAAGTCGGCTGAAGATTTTGAGGACCGGAACCTGTGTCGAAGTTTCGCTTGGAGTCCAAAAAGCAGAAGGAAAGGAAACCGATTATTTAGAGGAGGTTGTGATGTGTGCCGCGGTTTTCACACGGAGTATTAAAGTTAAACAACCCACAAAAAGAGGAGAGAAAGAAAAAGTTTGTTGGCCCATAAAATGGGTGGGCTTATCTAATGAGGGCAATATCTTTACCTCCAAATCGAATAAAAATCATCCAACGCAATAAAAGAAAAATGTTATTTACTCGATTAAGAAAGAAAATTAGTTTCTTGTGTAGTCTTATTCTTTATTCTTTATTCTTGTTTAGTTGGCTAAGTAAAGGATAATTTTCTTTGCTTGGGAAAAAAAGGATGGAATAAAATAGTCAAATTAAAGAGCATTCAGCAAATATTGTATGTACCGTCAAACTTCGCTTGCTGATCTTAAATTTAATTTAACAAATTTATTGTTTGACACAAAAACAAAAACAAAAAAAACAAAAAAAAAAACAAACAAACATCGCATGTACAGTTAAGGTCAAATTGTAAAATTCGTCTTCGATCTTCCCTCTTTGAACTTGTTTATCGTAACAATAACAAAAATAGCTGAAACACATAAAGGATTAAGACAGCTAAGTGTGTTGTCTCTCTTTTGATAAAGAGTGTTACACCAAGTGACAGTGACACGATTTCAATGAAAAAGTAGACCCATTTTGACAAGAGTGTTTGTATTCACAGGAGATTCTTTTGTAATTCATTTGATTAAGATAACAAGTTTTTATTTTTTTGTTTTGTTTTGGAAAAAGTTTGATGGTAGCAAAATTACAATCAAAACTCCCTCAACTTTTATTAAACAATAAGCCCAAAATTACAAGCAAACCAAGGGCTTTATTCAATTTTTCTTTGTTTTTTACCCCTCCTACCGCCCTTCTACTATCTCTTCTTTCTCCAATATACCCCACTTGTATTTTCAGCCCAAAAAGTGAAACCTAAAAACGAAATAATTATCCAACACGATCTTTAGATTTCAATGTTATATAGAGAGAGAGATAAAGAGATCCTTTCTACTCAAGTTGCTCAAAAAATCATCCTACTTTCAAGTTAGAGTAGAGTCAGAAAAGAACAGATCCTTTCCATTCAGGTTGCTCAAAAATAATGAACTGCACAAAACTATGAATTTTACAACATCGTAACCTTTCCAGCTACCCTCTAGAGCCCAGACTAAAAGCAGCCTTTTCTTGCGTGTACCATGCCCATGTTGACTTCGCAAAGGGCATGTTGTTAGCCGTTTGTTTACTACAACCAAAGGAGCCACCGGTTGAGCGGCTGATCAGAAACTTTTCTATTGTTTCAGGGGGCGACGCTGATTCTTTCTACGTTTGAGGAGCACCATCTGTGATACTCAGGAGAAGAAGCAAGTTCTTGCAAGGCTTTTGTTGTTGTCTCTCTGGAGAACAAGGACTGTATGTACTTATATACCAAATTATGCAATACATGAAAATTAAGCCGTAAATTTCTTTTTTTTCTCCTTTCGGATGTGGTGTGGAAAGTAGAAGGAAATAACCATGTAAATTTCTTTCGGATGTGGTGTGGAAACTATGCAATACATCAAAATCACTTTTTAGATAACGAGACATATATATAATCACCACTATTGAAATTTTGATAGTAAACTTGAAGTGTAGACTTATCTAACGTACCTGAAAAATCACAGTAGCACCCAGAATTTTGATGGACCAATTAACAAACTGAGATGTCATTATCTCGATAGATCCATCTTCTGCCAGGAACAATTTGTGGACTGCCCAGATGCCCAACCATGCTCCAGCCAGAAAAACAAAAGCCAGAAGAAATATAGCCAGCTGCAAATTATGAGAGAATTTCCTAAATCATTAGAGAATGAAGAATGTGTAGTAGTCTACTTGTAAATTATTTCCACCAAAAAAGGACAAGCATTAGTCCCAACATATAAAACGTAAAATCTATATATAATAACTCGCCTACAGAATAATGGTGTGATTTCAAGTGTATCTTGAGAATAAATCATAATTGACCAAGGCTAGAACAAGAATAAGTATTATCAGTTGGTTTGCATAAAAAACCGACAGTGTGCATCAATTAGTAGTTAGCACACACCTGAATAAAACTAAAATCCAAGATGGTAAGGGAAATGGAGTAGTGCAGAATTATAAGCACATCTTGCCTGAAAGAGAATACAGAGTACATCAAAACCCAAAAGAAAAAGATGAAATGAAAAATTGTTTACCAGTTCATATTGTTAGTGTTTGTGTGTGTAGTTTTAGTATGTGTTTCAATGGAGGTTGTCTTCAAAGATAGAAAGAGTTTCCGAGAGAGAAGAAGCTGCAAAATGTCTCTTCAAATTTCATTTTTTCATATCCTGCATAAAACAATCTAACCGTTTATGAGGAAGGGAAGAGAGATCCTTCACTCTTCAACATACAATGCAATCTTAGCCATTCATTGGTATCATCCTATGAGATGATGCCACTTGGCTTATTCTATTACTTAGGCTAGATACAAGATTGAAATGCCATGTGGACTATGATCCAAAGGCTCACATTCAAACTGAAACAACACATAGAAATATGATTCTTGCTGCCAAGCTTCAGCTAAAGGATTATACACCAACACTCCCTTCTAATCCTTTGGCTGATTTAACTCCAAGTAGCTCCCTTAGATACACAAATCGATCTTTAGGTAAGGCCTTAGTAAGTATATCTGCAATCTGCTCCTCTGTCCTGCAGTACACTAACTCAATCTCTTTGGCTTGAATTGCTTCTCGGATGAAGTGGAACTTCCTGTTGATGTGTCTTGTCTTTTGATGAAAGACTGGATTCTTTGCCATAGCAATGGCTGATGTATTATCACACAAGATCTGAGTTCCTTCCACTTGTTCTTCTCCAAAGTCTTCTAGAACAAATCTCAGCCACTTTGCTTGTGATGTAGCCTCTGCTGCACTGACATATTCTGCTTCTGCAGTAGACAGTGCCACAGTGTTTTGTTTGATTGAAGCCCATGAGAACATACCCGATCCTAGTGTGAATGCATACCCTGAAGTACTTCTCATATCATCCTCACTTCCAGCCCAATCACTATCACAGTAGCCGATTAGGGTAGTAGTTTTTCCCCTTTCAAAGACAATACCAAAATCGATTGTTCCCTGGATGTATCTTAGTACCCTCTTAGCTGTTCCCATATGTTTCTTAGTGGGATTATGCATAAATCTTGCCAACATACTTGCTGCAAACATCACATCAGGTCTAGTTGCAGTTAAATAGAGCAGACTTCCAACAAGCTGCCTATATTCTCCTTCATCCGCAGGTTCACTTCCATCAACTTTGCTCAACCTCTCATTCATTGCAAGTGGAGTAGCAACTGACTTGCATTCTTTCAGACCAAACTTCTCAATTAGTTTCTGTGCATATTTCTTTTGGTGTATAAAAATGCTGTTCTCAGATTGCAGCACACCCATTCCAAGAAAATGATGTAATAAGCCCAAGTCAGTCATCTCATAGTGTTTCATCATGTCATTTCTGAATTCTTCAAGCATTTGTGGACTGCTACCAGTATATACAATGTCATCTACATATAGAGAGACAATAATGATACCCGAGTCCTTACTTGTCTTAACATACAAAGTTGCTTCACTTGAACTCTTCTCAAACCCTGCATTATTGAAGTATGCATTAATCTCATCATACCAAGCTCTTGGTGCTTGTTTCAAGCCATATAAAGCCTTGTTCAACTTGTACACCTTTGTTTCTTCACTTTCCTTCACAAAACCTTGAGGTTGCTCAACATACACTTCTTCTTTCAGTACCCCATTGAGAAATGCAGACTTTACATCTAATTGATACAAGTTCCATTTCTTCTGTGCAACAAGGGCAATTAAAGTTCTAATTGTATCCAACCTTGCCACAGGGGCAAAGGTTTCATTATAGTCGATTCCGGGCTTTTGTGAATAACCTTTAGCCACCAGCCGAGCTTTATTCTTCTGCACGGTGCCATCCAGATTAAGTTTGGTCTTATAAACCCATCTAACACCAATAACAGGCTTGTCATATGGTCTCTCAACAAGCTGCCATGTGTTGTTCTTCTCAATCATGTCCAATTCAGTTTTCATTGCACTCTTCCATGAATCATCTTTGGCTGCATCCTCATAGTTTTCTGGTTCAATAACACACATGTTGCATTGAGCCATGATTTCATTGATACTTCTCCATTTCTTCGGTGTATCATCATAAGTTGGAGATCTCTCAAGCACATTCTCACTTTGAGAAACATTGTATTCTTCAAACTGAGAATTGTCATCAACTTCACAGATTTCATTAGCATTCTTATGTTCAGTGATAACTGGAAATGTCACTCCAGTATCTATATTGCAGTTCCAATCCCAAGATTTACTCTCATCAAATGTGACATCCCTTGAGAGAACAATCTTCCTTGAAATGGGATCAAAAACAACCTGTAGCCCTTCTCACTTGAACCATATCCTACAAAGATACACTTGTGACTGTTTTCTTCCAACTTATGTCGGAGATTGGAAGGGATATGCACATAGCACAGTGAGCCAAATATCTTCAAATGAGCTATTCCAGGTTTTCTGCCACTGTAAGCTTCAAATGGGGTTGACTTCTTCAAAGCTTTAGTAGGACACCTATTGATCAAATAGACTGCAGTATTCACTGCTTCTGCCCAAAATGCATATGGAAGGTTTTTTTTCATGTAGCATTGACTTTGCCATCTCCACCACAGTCCTATTCTTTCTTTCGGACACTCCATTATGTTGAGGAGTGTAGGCCATAGTCAATTGTCTCTGAATTCCTTGTCCATTACAGTATTTGTCAAATTCTACAGAAAGAAATTCTCCCCCTCGATCACTCCTGAGACATTTAACCTTATATCCACATTGTAACTCAGCCATTGCCTTGAACTTTCTGAAACATTCAAACACATCAGACTTGTTTCTCAAAAAATACACCCATGACATCCTTGTGCAGTCATCTGTAAACAACAAAAAATATTTGTTTCCAGAATGAGACTCTACTTGCATTGGACCATAGAGATCAGTATGAATCAACTCTGGTGGATCTTTAGCTCTCCAAGTTGATTGGGAAGGGAATGAGTCTCTGTGTTGTTTACCCAACATGCAACCTTCACACACACTTTGGGACATTTCTAATTTAGGTAATCCATGCACCAACTCCTGTTCTTCAAGTACCTTGAGACTTCTCTCATTCAAATGACCCAACCTCTTATGCCATATTTGAGAACAATGAGTGATACCTGCCCTTAGTGCATACTGTGTTGCAGGCAACATTGTCAAAGGAAAACATCGATTGTTGGTCATATGTACCCTCACTACTAAATTATCCAGTGACCATCCATCAAAAATATTCACTACATCACCTCCAAACAACAAATAATAACCATTTTCCATCATTTGCCCTACACTTAGAAGATTTTCCTCAAGTCCGGGAACAAGCATTACTTCTTGTATATGTTTTCTTCCCAATTTAGTTTCAATCACCAAAGTTCCCTTTCCTGCCACTTCACAGATTTCTCCAGTTCCCATCTTCACTTTGGATGTCAAACCTCTTTGAACATTGACCAATAATCTCTCATCTCCTGTCATGTGGTTACTACACCCACTATCAATGTACCATGAGTTATTGACTTTCACATCAGTCACTGCATTGCAGGCATAAAACAGTGATCCTGTTTCTCCCATTTGCTTCACATAATTAACTTTCTGCACGCCCCTATTCTCATGACAATCTCTCATAGAATGACCTGGCTTACCACAGCCTGTGCACTTTGGTTTACCTTCATACCAGCACTTCCCATAGTGCAACCTGTCACACCACTTACAATCACCCTGAGCATTGTTTTGCTTCTGGACATAATTAGGCCTATGATCCCAATTCCTTTGAATATTGTTCTGTCTCTGAGGATAATTTGGTTTGTGATCCCAATTCCTTTGAGTATTGCTCTGTCTCTGAGGATAATTTGGTTTGTGATCCCAATTCTTTCCCCTTGATTTCCAACTCTCTTAAGACCTTTGATTCCCAGAAAATCCACCACTTTTGACACCCTTAGATGCTATATTTAAACTTGCAAATGCCCTATCAGTCGAAGACTCAGTATGTAGATCAAGCCTCTGTTCAAATCCTTTCAGAGAAGCTACAACCTCTTGGACCTCAATAATTTCAAGATCTCTAGAATGCTCAATTACAGAACAAATTGCATCATATGTTTTCGGTAGACTAATAAGTAATTTCTGCACAATTCTCTCCCTAGATAGTTCTTCTCCATAACTTTTCATTTGGTTAATGATATCAAACAATCTAGAGAGATACACAGATAATGATTCACTGTCCTTCATACGAGTATATTCAAAATCTCTACGTAAACCTTGCAATTTTACATTTCTTACTTGTTTATCTCCTCGGAATTCACCCTTTAGAGCATCCCAAGCTCCTTTGGATGTCTCTTCATTCACGATTCTGGGAAAAATCTGATCCGATACTGCACCTTGTATCATTCCAAGCGCACGAGCATCCTTCATCAGGATCTCACTGAACGACACTCCATCCGGCGTCTCCTTCTTCGTCTCATCAACCACAGCTTTCTCAGACTTCGGATCTGGTGGTTCAAACCCATTTTCTACCAGCTCCCACAAACCATACAATTTCAGTATAGTTGTCATACGAATCCTCCAAAATTCATAGTTCTCTCCATTGAAGACCGGAGCTCTAAGCTCGACATTTCCGGACCCAGCCATATGAGACTTGGATACACGAAAGCACACTTTCCAGATTCGATTGAAGCTCAAAGATGTAGCTCAATCGCACAGATTTCACGCCCAGATTAGACGATGAAACCTGGCTCTGAGGCCATGTTAGTGTTTGTGTGTGTAGTTTTAGTATGTGTTTCAATGGAGGTTGTCTTCAAAGATAGAAAGAGTTTCCGAGAGAGAAGAAGCTGCAAAATGTCTCTTCAAATTTCATTTTTTCATATCCTGCATAAAACAATCTAACCGTTTATGAGGAAGGGAAGAGAGATCCTTCACTCTTCAACATACAATGCAATCTTAGCCATTCATTGGTATCATCCTATGAGATGATGCCACTTGGCTTATTCTATTACTTAGGCTAGATACAAGATTGAAATGCCATGTGGACTATGATCCAAAGGCTCACATTCAAACTGAAACAACACATAGAAATATGATTCTTGCTGCCAAGCTTCAGCTAAAGGATTATACACCAACACATATTTCATCAAAGCATGCAACTATATGCCGAAGTCAATGCGACGCGAGGAAATTTGTTCCCCCTAATAGAAAGCTGTTTATTGGTTATCACTATATAAGGCTGAGTAAACAAGCTATACTTCAGCAACAATACCAAAATATAAACATTCAAGAAAACAGGAAAACATGAATGATTTGATTTTAAAAAATAAAGGTTTCAAGCCAAACATGACAATCATATGCAATCAAATAATCTGGATGGAAAAAGAGGAAGGCATTTTTCTTTATGGTGAAGATAGCAGGGCAACTAAAAGAATAATTCAAGATAACTTACAGGATTATACATGTCTTCGCTAATTCCAATCTCTGTGAGTAGTGTACGCAATGACCCAGGTAGGTAGCCGAGGAGAAAAGATCCCATACCAACCTGATAAATTGTGAGAATTACATTGATCATTATCATGTAAATGAAAAGTGTAGAAACGTAAATTAACTGAGGTTTGGTACATACCACAGATGAGTACACAAAAATTGCAAGAGAATTCTTCCGACCAGTTGGGAGAAGCTTCATCCCCTGTAAACAACCATAAAAATTAAACCGTCCTACTCAGTTATATTATCTTGGATGGTGTAAGGACTTCATTGGACATTCAGCAATCTTATCAAGAAAAAGGATCACATCAGTACGGCAACTACATTACCTGAAAAAGTACCATCAATATTACAAGGACTACCCCAATTTGCCATTCCACTGCCGTAATAAAATACTAATGACTTGCTCAGGTGGGACGCCAAGCTCATCATGATTATGCCCAATATCAAAAATGTTACGTGATATTTAACAAATTCTGCAAAACAAAGAACACACTCAATGAACTGGTCACCAAATGCAAGGATTAAAGCAAGAGGTAAAATCGTGTGTACATTAGACTCCGGAGTGGTACCTTCTTCAATGGACACCTCCAAGCTCTCTAAGGATGAACCATATGTCCGTACATCTATTAGTTGGTGCTCAAAAGGTGACATGGACCTTGACCAGAGCCCTTGGGAACCTTCTGCCAAGAGCTGTGAGGGCACATCCCTATCCCAAGAGATGTATTTCTGCAACGAAAGAAAAAATAGATCATTCCACACAGAAATAACTTTACAGCAATACAAAACATATTTAAGAGACAATGGTATTATCATATCGCACGATAATGAATTTCTTCTCATTCAGTTAAGTCCTGTATGCATGGTGTCTGACATGCAAGTAGTATTAAAAACTCACATGACCCATAATATTCACGACTCTCCTGTGGACACAAACCTCGAAGGTCGGTATACGAGTGCTTGAATTTGTTCCTGATACCTTCACCTTCACCGTGTTGGCAAACTTCCCAATATTTTTAAGCCTTGAAACTTGAAAGTCCACGGATATGAACTCGTTCACACAGCACCAAAATGCCGGGCTTGGAACCGGGAAATTTTTTTACTGGCACCCCAAGAGATAATTGTAACCTATCCGACTCGGAAATAACTGCAAATGAAAAGCATAAGAAAGGGATGACTCGTTAAAAGTATAAAACTTCTCACACCCACCATCAAATAGGTAATTTCTATCTGCATACAATTCAAAGCCACTAATCTCAGTAGCCTTTTTCTACCTTCACAAGACGTTCCGAAAAAGCTGTGATCTAGTATGCAGGCACATTTTGGTTCCCAAAGGAAAAACCCATTTTAAACAACCAATGTAGCAGTCGTATCAGAAAAATATAATTTGACATAAAAGTAATTGTAGCAATGGTACTTTAACTTTAATTAAATTGGAACAACAATCTTTCAACTGAAAATTCATTATCATTAACCTCTTAAATCATCAAAATGTGTAGTTATGATCTTTTTCGTCAACTTCGTCAGAATTTTGTCAAAATGAGTTATGTTGAAATGACCATTGCTATAATTAGGTTAAAGTTGAAGGAGCATTGTTCTAATTGAGTTAAAGTTGATGGATCATTCTTTCAGTTAGATTAAAATTGAGGGACCAATGGTAATAAATTTTTAATTGAGCGACCATAATTATACGTTATGATGAGTTCAGAGACCAATGGTAATGAATTTTTAGTTGAGAAATCATTGCTCCAAGAAGTTAAAATTAAGTAACCATTGTTAGAATTTAGTCTTGACATAATCAAAGAGAAACCCACTCCAAATCAAAATTTGAAATTTCCCACAATCTTAATTCTTCAGAAAAAAATTAAGAAAAAATTAAGAAACCAGATGAATAATTCTACTCCCATTTACTTCAAAAACCTATACATTATGAGTTTTCGAATCCTTGATCAATTCGTAGCAAAAAGATTAAAATTTTAAACTTTCTTCTTTTCACTCGGTATTCTCAGAAACCCAATACGCCAACATTATAAACAAAAAATCAGTTTTGGGATTCAAATTACTGTTTATCTTAAAAACCCTAGATTTCATTACTTCGTTGAGTTGGATAAGCGCAATAAAACTTGATGGGGAATTGAAAAGAAAGTACCTAAAGAAAGCTCAATGGAGGGTTCGACGGAGGAGGAAAAAGGGAGTGAGAGGAAGAGAAGCCAGGGAATGCAGGCGAAGATCCGAACCGAATGTGCAGAAGCCATTGCTTCTGGTTCTGTGTTTGGCGGGGGCTCCCGAGTTACAGAACTGTCAGAAAGAGGGGGATAGGCGCGCGTAGAAAATACGGTACGATAGCAAGGGGATTTTTGCTATTTTGAGAAGAAGTCTCTAGGTCGTGTGTTGATAATGTATTACGGTGACATTGATAGTGCAGTGTATCGACATTATTATATTGTCCAAAAGATGGAATATGTCTTCAATATGGGAAATGTGCAAACCATGGCCCGACCCAGCACAGGTGACCATTTTTGTTTTCGGAGTTGCTACTGGCACTCAAAATAAAAAAATATGGATATATGTTTGGGTACAAACAAACACAGTGGCTTGTTGAGTAATTTGCTTATTAGTATTTGTAGGCTTCACTCTTTGGCGTTCGAAGAGGCTTAAGAAATTCCTAAATTTGTTGTTTGTAAGGCATGCCATCGTTGGCTTCTGTCTACAGAATGATATGTTGTATTTAGAATAGATTATATGTATATGCGATACTTGCTTACAAGTAAATAAAACTTCTTGATCATATTGTTCCACTGTCTAGCTCAAGTTTGATTCTTTTTAATGCTTGCCTGTTAAAGACTTTAATTGTTTCTTGATGTCAGACCATAAACTACTAAGATGAGGTTAGATATAAACATGTTATATATAAACACACCGCTTCAGTCATTTACGAATAAGAGCAGTAAACACAACACTGAAATTGATATTAGTAATATTGAATATCACAAAACAAGTACATACACAAATGAACTTAAAACAATCGAATTTTCTTTTATCGTTGGATTGGGTTAAAGATGCTTCCTTGTAAAGTGTTTCAACCAAGAGACAAACTTATATAATGGTTGGTAAAACGATACTACCCAAAGAGATGGTGGCAGAGCAATTCTAATTGGTCTTAGAATCTAAGGGAAGGAATCATAGAGTTCTAAGGTTCTGGTTTCAAGTGGTCTTTTGACAAGGCAAAAGGAATGAAGCAAGTAAAGTGAAAGAGCTTTCATTTTAAAGCTTGCGTCTTGTTTTGTAGAATGATTTGAGTGTCCTTCGCTCTGAGGTCTTTACTTGTATATATAGACCTTTCACTTCCTTCTTCAATGCTTCCTATATCTTCACTTGAAGCCGACCTAGGATTATTTTCCAAAAAGTAATGCACAAATGGTAAAGTAATCCAAGATATCTGGGTAGGGAATCTATCTTAGCTTAATCGAGAAGACGGTTTATGTCTGATCACCATCCTTACAAAAATACCAAAATACTTTGCATTCAATGTTCCCAGCGAGAGAGAAAACTGTTATAATGAATACCTAATACTTAGCATGGGTTATAGCATGGGTTGTAGTTGTTAGACCTTGATGTAATCAGCTAGGGTTTAGACTATGTAAAGTATGGGTCTAGGCATGGTGTGTGAAGCATGGTGTGTGTGTCTTCTGAGTGACACACATCACCACATCACCACATCACCTTTTCACTACTTGTATAAGTTCATTATTCTTTGTACCTTTGAATAATCAATATATACAAAATCTTCCAAACAATCACATGGTATCAGAGCAGGCTTCCTAAAAGAACCCGCTCTCTGAAAAGAAAACGTTTGAAATGGAAGAAGAAAATATTCTTGTTGATCCAACTGAGATCGTTGGTTCTTCATCAACTCCTTCAAGCGAAGTTAATGGAAATCCTAATCAACGTCTTTGTTCCACACTTCTAACCGAGTTTAACTATCTTCCGTGGTCCAGGACTATCACTTTAGCTCTTAGAGGAAGATCTAAGCTCGGCTTTATCAACGGCACTGTTGTAGCTCCCAAGCTTGGTGATCCCAAGTATGAAGAGTGGTTCTGTAAGGACCAGCTCGTTATGTCCTGGTTGCTTAATTCAATGGGCTCAAAGATATCCGAGATTTTCAGTTTCTCAGAATCAGCTTTTGAGTTATGGAAAGCTGTCAAGGAGATGTATGGAAATCAGAATAATGCAGCCAGGATATTTAAGCTGCAGAAGGGTCTTTCTGTCCTAAATCAAGATGGAAAGTCCTTCGTCGAGCACTTAGGAAATTTGAAGTCCATGTGGAATGAGTTGAATCTCTATTGTCCTCTCACCACAGATCCAACAATTCTTTTTAAGCGAGCTGAAGAAGACAAAGTTTTTCAGCTCTTGTCCAGTCTAGATTCTACTTATGAAGACATGCGAAGCCACATATTGATGAGTGTTGAACTACCATATCTCAATACTGTGTGCACCATCATCCAACGAGAAGAAATAAGAAGAAAGGTTATGAGTACCAAGATCAGTGATCTTAAGTCCAAAGCCTTTGCTGCAAGTGACAGGAAGTTTGAAAAGAAAAACTTCAAATGAAGGAAATGAGAGATGCTATGCAGTCATTGTGGGTAGAAGAATCATCTCAGAGATACTTGTTGGGTGTTGTACCCGCATCTTAAACCCAACTTTGCCAAGCAAACCAAACCTGATCGCAGTGCGAGTCAAGTCTCTCACTCTAAGACTGCCTCAACTGCTGAGAACTTCACATCGAATCCTTCAGCTCTCTTAAGTGAGTTTGCTCTCTCCAATCAAAGGAAAGATGGAAGCAACCCTCATAAGGGAAACAATGAAGTTAGCTCCACTGAGCTAATTGAACAGTTTGCAAAATTTCTCCAGACCAAAGTGTCATCATCCAATGATATGTCAGGTATTCTAAACTCCTTTATTATTGCACTTGCTTCCAGAAATCTTGCAAATGTTTGGATAATAAACTCTGAAGCAACTGATCATATGACAAATATAAAAAGAGATATGCATGAGTTTAAAGATGTAGTTATACCACAGTTTGTTTCAGTTGCTAATGGATCTGGTGTATTAGTTTTGGATGAAGGAAAGGTGAAGATATTTGATGAAAATGTTCAATCAACTGCTTTTTATGTGCCCTCCTTTCCATTTCAGCTTCTGTCAGTGGGAAGACTGACAAACTCTTTAAACTGTGATGTCATATTCTCGCCATTTAATGTGGTTTTCTAGGATCGTATTGATGCGAAAATTAACTTAACACACAAATTTAACCCTCTTTTGATAAATGTAGTATAAGTATAAGTATAAGTAGGGATCGTTCTGGATGGGGGATTTGGAGGGCTTGCTAATAACCTCTAAACTGACTCAAAAACATAAAACTAAACTTAAAAATACTTAACAAGACTCACAAGACTCAAAGCAAACTTAAAATACTCAAAACAGCTTAAAACAACTAAATAAACTTAAACTAGACACTATGAATGACTTTGGACGAAAATTGACTTTTACTTGAATCAAAACATTTAAAAACACAAATTAAAACAGATTCTAACTAGTTAGACACACTAAAGTAAAGGGGGATTGAGTTTTGGACGAAGTTGAAACAAACAAACAAGTATGAAAAATTAGACAGATTGTAAAACAAATGTGAGAAATAAGATGATGGATGGGATAGCTAGAGGTTTTTTCTCCACACATGACATGTATGCAAATAACTCGATTTCCAGTTACTACTTCATTGAATTATGAACGACAATGCTCCAAATTAACCGTGACATCACTAGTTAACTCTCAGATTTTCCTTGTTTTATTGGATTGGATGACATCATTCGACAACCCAAAACATTCTTCAAAAGTTCCCTACATGACATCATAATAGAGATACAATCAAAGATCATTATGTTTAATGAAAATCATAAGCATTGACAAGCACTTGCAACTATGACATCATGTCACTTATGCTAGGAATTGAACTTAACGCGATCGTTTATAAGCGACCTCCACTACATGTGAATATAAGTTTGTAACGATTATGTGAAACTTCCTTATATTCTAGCAACGGATTTATGCATGCCAATTAAGTGTCGACCCTTAATTAATAAGTACAAATAAGTTATCAATCAAATAGTTAAGCCAATTGCATTCACGATTCAAGAGTTCATAACTGGAATTTATCAAATTATATTGCACACATAATCATGGCTTTGACGTCACCCCTAGCTAAGAGGTGTTTAGCCACTCATATTTACAACAAAACCAAATGAAATGAATTTAAACATTAGAAACAAAAGAAAGAAAACACCTAAACGCTCCAACGATCCAAGTTGGACAACAAGCACGTCCAAGCACTTTCCTTCCCTTCCTTTGCTACGGCACAATGTGTTGGTGAGTGTTTGAAGGTTTGTTTGTATGGAGGAATGGATGTGAAGATTAATGGATGTGTTTGGATGAAGGTTGTGTTGAAATGGGAGTGAATGATCTAACCAAGTATGAACTAAGCTTATGTTACACACACTTCCTTTTATAGAGGAAGTGCATGGCAATGGAGGGGAACATAGAGTGGTGTAGCAATTGAGTGCAATGACTCAATGTAATGATGCATGAAATCTGAAATGATGGAGGGAACAAGGAATGGTGTAGCAATTGAGTGCAATGATTCAATGTAATGATGCATGAAATCTGAAATGATGGAGGGAACAAGGATGATTAGGCATGGCATGGGTGGAAAGGTGAGTAAGTGGTGAATCAATGAGTGCAAGGAGGTGAAAGGATATTGTGCACATGGTAGAGAAAGGAAAGGAAGTGGAATGATGCAACAAATGAGTCAATAGAGGGAATATGGATGATGATGCACGACATAGGAATCCAAAGGGAGTGCAATGGTGGTGCACGACAATGATGGAAAGGTGAATGGTGGAGTGACATCCCTTTGTGGCTAAGCTCTTTGTCATTTTTACATTAATTCTTCTTTCTCTTTAACACATTCCTAGCCTCTTTAGTCTTCAATTTCGTCCATCCACCTTGCTCCATGCATGTGCTATTCATTCCAAGCCCAAAACTGCTCCAAAATGCATCTTATTGCTTTATAAGGCCTATGGACCTACAAACACACGAAATAGCTTAAAATACATAATTAACTAAGAAATAACAACATAAATGCATGAGAACAAGCTAACTCAGTCACAAAAATATGCTCCTATCACGTATCACGAGGAAG